CTCTCCCCCCTCTCTCTCTCCCTCTCTCTCTCCCCCCCCTCAGTCCTCAGGGTCTGCTGGCCGGGATGAACCGCTTCCTGTCGCTGCTGGAGATCACTTTCAGACGAGACCCCAACAACTTCAGGCCTCGCATCAACAAGGCCCACTCCATCAAGGTACACACACACACACACACACACACACACACACACACACACACACACACACACACACCTCTATCAAGGTACAAGACACACACACACACACACATCTCCATCAAGGTACACACACACACACACACACACACACACACACACACACACACACACACACACCTCTATCAAGGTACAAGACACACACACACACACACATCTCCATCAAGGTACACACACACACACACACACACACACACACACACACACACACACACACACACACACACACACACACCTCCATCAAGGTACAACACAACACGTTATATCTATACGACGTATTTATTTAGGAGTCGACACACAAACAGGGCGAATTCAAAGGTTCACAGATCACTGCTCTTTACTGACCCCTGCTGGTGACTGGAGGAACTACAACAACCATGCAGACACCAGATCAATCTAGCTCAGTTCCTTTCTCATCTACTCTCCCCTCCTTTCCTTCCTCGCCTTTATTTCCCTCACTGTTACCACAAACGTCTGTCTCTCCTCCTTCCTTACTCCCTGACCTTTCCTCACCTTGTACCCTCTCTCCTCCTTCCTCTCTTAAACATCAGCTGTCCGTCTCTTTTGACCCTTCCTCTCTTTGTGTCCTTGTTATTCTCTCTGAGCACCAACAGGATGTGATGGTTCCTGTAAAGCTCACATGCTTTTATATTTAAATAAACCTAACTTCTCTCTCTCTCTCTCTCTCTCTCTCTCTCTCTCAGGACACCGAGCAGAAGAAGAGCGGAAACTACTTCTTCCTGGACGACTAACACCACTTCCTGCGTGACCGAATAAAAGCCGTTAAATCTCACCAACATGTACAACCAAGGCTTCGTTAAATAAATATATCACAAGAAACTTTAAAGATTTAAAACCCAACCCATCGGCCTTTTATTGTACCGAGGCTGCATTCAATAGCCAGCAATGTTATTAAACGCTTCAATAAGTGCATTGCATTCTGGGTCATGATGTGTTCACATTGTGGAGCATATTTTAATTCATGCATTTACAACAATAAACTGATGCTAACTCAGTGCTTCTCAAACAGGTGGGCCTTTTCAAGCCCCACCTGTTCCTCATCGCTCCAATAAAATGGTAGGCCAAGCTTAAAATTGTCAAATGTATCGTTCTATAGCAGGGGTCTCCAACCTTTTTTAGGATGAGAGCTACTTAAAAAAAATAAAACAAGTCGTGAGCTACTTTTACTCCTCTTTTTTTTGTTTTTTGCTGTGTATATATTTAGCACATTTTAACATTATGATATGCTGACCTTTAACCTTCGTTTGCTCTTTGGGTCTGTGGGACCCCTTTTCAGTGTTTACTAAAAGAACATGTATGCAATTAAATTATTTTAACCTGTTTTATTTGGGGGTGGACCTCACCTCCCCTAGGGGGGTCCGGGGGCATGCACCCCCGGGAAGATGTTTTTTTAAATGTTGAAGTGAAATGCATCAATCTGGAGCACTTTGAGCACAGCATGAATTGATGGAAACAGCTCTCAACACTCAGATGAAAGAGAGCTGTATACTTTTCAATAATCCAAACATCTTTAGAATATGATCACAACCAATAACAAATCATTTAAACTGGTTTATTCTTATCTCATGTTACCTAGTTAGCATTCTTTCTTTTTATTTATGCATATTTTACTAATCATTCCCCTTTTAAACTGTTATTTTTTTTTTTACTGTCCTACAGTACACATTGGAATGATTTCTTACTTTATTTTTTACAACTAGGCTATATTAAATAGATAAACACATTGCTTTTCTTCCCGACTGCAACGCTGTTGTGTGTGTGTGTGAGAGATTTTTACACATGTCTGTAAATTATTTTGGTTTCAGATGTGTGTGTGAGAGCAGGCTCGGATTGGCCATCGGGAGATTCGGGACTTTTCCCGGTGGCCCGCTGCCGTCGGTGGGCTGCTGCTGTCGGTGGGCTGCTGCTGCCGTTGGCATAGGCGTGGACTTTCACAGCGCCGCTGCGCTGGTACCGCATCCGCCGCCGCAAACACCCACTGTTGCGAGGCTCCGGCGCTGTGAAAGTCCACCGCCATTGCGAGTCTCCGGCTGTAACAGTCCACTACCGCCCGCAAGGACCCAGGTTCGAAGGCCTGAGGTCCGAAAAATGTATTTAAAAAAAAAAAAAATTAAATTTTTTTTTTTTTTTTTTATAAAGTCTCCTGTTCATTGCGTCCATTCGCGACCCACCTATCACATCTCTGCGCCCCACCAGTGGGGCGCGCCCCACACTTTGAGAAACACTGTGCTAACTGATCCAAGACCTGTTTCCATCTTCACTTACTACTCATACTGCATAACATATCTTCCCTGTACTTAAACACCTGATGGTTTTAAAGGGGACCTATCATGCAAAGTGCACTTTTTGATGTCTCTTATACATAAACATGTGTCCCCGGTGTGTCAGGGAACTCACGCAGCATCAGAAAATAAAACCCTCTCTCTTTTCCTCCGTACCCACATCTCTAAAAACGGGGGAACAACGGAGCTGATCCAGGTTTGTGTCCGATATGACGTAATATCTGAAATGTTGGCGGGCTTTACACCCACGGGCCAATCGGAAACAATGAGATGCATATTTTGGACGTAATATGGTCTTTGTTTACATTAGCATCGCTAACACTCAGAGCTAACCTGTACTGGAGAGCATGGGTGTTTCTCAATCTCGAGTAAAGCTGCTTCCGAGCCACTATTTCAAGCATACTACGTCATCGAGTGCCGCCGAAGTACTGTTCCAATCTCCAGTATACTTGGAAATCTACCGAGCCCGGCGTACTCCGTTTGGAGAAATATCGAGGCTGCACATGAGTAGACTCCGCGGTCTTAAAATCCCCACAATGCTTTGCGCACGGACCAATTTCCCCAAATCTGTGGCGGAAGATGTAAGGCGGGGCCTCTCATATGATGCACACTTGCACACTTGCTAGCGTGTTCCACACTTCGTTTTCCGAATGCCAGGAAGTATTCTTGACTCGCTTCTGAAGCAAGATGCTCGGCAGACATGTGCTACCAAGCAAGCGTACTCGCGATTGAGAAACACCCAGTGATTGAACACTTTGTAATAATACCTGTCTCTACTGTGAAACTCACACTGCCTCAACAAACGCGTGTTTCCAGTTCAATCTGCACCTTAGTCTCTAACTGTCTGTTCATATCTCACTGAAAGCTGAAACTCCTAATGTATGAAAGAAGTGAAACATGTAAAGGTTTGAGTGGAGTATTAATCAGTAGATCAAAGTTGAATTCACTTCTAAAATCTCTGCTATTAATGAATATAGGAGTCAATGGGGCCGTTGGTTGGTACTCCTGTTACTGCGAGGCTCACAGCTCTGCATGTGTACGTCCCTTTGATTCCACAGATACATTGTTGGAAAGAGGACACCTTTTATACGTTCTTCAGTAAAATGATGTACAAAGAGTAACAAATGTGGAAGTTAGTTTTTATATTATTTATTGTCTTTATTTACTTTTTATATTATTTTATTGTTATTAATAGTTTATTTCCTAATTAATATCAAATTAAAATAATATTATAAAAAATACATTACATTTGTATTAAATATGTATTTAACAGGGACAGTTTACATAAATAAAAAATATCTGATAGGGTTTTTTTTTCTAGAATCCCTGCGAATATCCAACCATCCTTTTACAGTTTGCATCAACATATAAATACACCAAGAATTAAAATATTGATTTGTATTATTATAACCAGAAACGCTGCACGGCTGAAGGAGGCAGCGATCAGTCTGTGTCCGGTGAGGAGCGTGCACGAGGCGGGCACACACACCTTTGTAGACCCGTATGCATACATCGTCCAACAAAAATAGCAAAGTAACATTAGAATTTAACTCAAAATGAATATGTAGATACATTACATATTATTTAGCTGATGCTTTTTTCCAAAGCGACTTCCAATAAGTGCAAAAACCATAAAGAATCAAACTCCAAAAACAAGGAAGGAGCAGATATATTCACTTCAAGCAACAACATACCATAGGAAGAGCTGGTGAAATGCTATTTTCATCACAAAAACATGTCTCTTGAAGATAAGCAATATACAAAAACCCTGCTCTGCTCTGCTCTGAGAGAGACTCTTTACAAACCACATTTTGGATAACGGAGGGAAAAGAAAGTAACGTTTTTCTACCCCTGTTCCTATTAACATATATTTACATAACTTCAGCTGCAATTCAGCTGCACTTGAATTTCTTGCACTCCACCTAACTAGATTTAATGCAAACATTCATTTCTTCCTACAAAGCATCTTTTCTTCTAACGTAGAAGAAATAGAATGTCATATGTACGATCAGCACGGATAAATTCAGTCAAGGATCAATTAGTTAAAACATGGTGGATAAATCTGAATCATTTCCAGTGATCTTTTAAAGTGTCTTTCAAGTTTGTGTAGTGCTCACAGAATGTAATGTGATTACAGCAAACAGTGAATACATCAATAAACACTACGTATTACGCTTTGTGGTTCTTTTCATAATAGCTTCTGCATACAAATATACATTCTTCCATCATCAGTAGTTTTCTGACAGTTAAATCAGAAGATGATGAGAACCTTGGACTTTTCTTGTTCATTTGAAGAGGGTTTCAGATTATTTGGGTTAGATTCTCTAAAGAACTCATCGTCTGTACATCCTCATTGATGTATATTTTCCAATAAGGAGATTTAGTGAGGAAAACTTTGAGGACAAAGACAGCAGCAAAGAGAAACAGTAGAAATGCTGTAACTGGCAGTCCAACATAGATCCAGATGTCTCTCCAGCTCTCTGGAAGTGGACTCTCTGTTGGTCTCTGAGTTTGGAGCTCAGCAGCAGCTGTGGAAAATACACAGTTAGTAACATCATGTTGACATGGAGAAAACCTCTTTCAGACTGAATACAACCATCACCTGCATCAGAGGTTGCATAGAGAGGTGCAGTGACGCGTCCTAAAACCCGGAAGTAAGCTGCGCATGGGTACCTTCCAGTTTCCTGGGATTTCTCCATAGGATTTTGGAAAATAATAAATCATAAATCTATCGATCATAAATCAAATCGACAGATTTATGATCGATAGATTTCTGATTAGAAAAATATAAAAGTAGGGTAGACATGTGGAGATTATCCGACTGAACAAAACGTGCATTTATCAAACAGGCTCGTTTTCCACAGATCTTATTTCCAGCTATTTTCCTAAATCCTCTGGAGAAATCCTGTTGCTTTTTGTCGAGGGAACTGGAAGGTACCAATGCGCAGCTTCCTTCCTGGTTTTAGGACGCGTCACTGCAGCTCTCTATTGACTTTGCATCTTTCTTACCATTAGACTAGAGCTACTAGAGTCTGCACATTAAAGAAGTGAAGTTTTACAGTAAATGCAGCACTGAGGTTACTCACCAGTGACGTTGAGCCAGCATCTCCTAGAGTTAGTCCCATCAGGTGTGACGAGTATGTCACACCCATAAAACCCAGAGTCACTGGTCCTGAATCTGGAGACATGAAGTGTGAGGCGTCCTTCTGTGAGGACGTCTTTGTCCCACTGGACTCGTCCTGCAAACTCTGGATCCTGAGACTCTGGGGATTCAACACCTCCAAGGAGATGAAACAGGACGTAGGTTCTGGTCTCAGCAAACAGGAAACAGATGGTAGAGATGGATCTGAGGGAAGTGTCTCTTCTGGTGCTGAAGGTCCACTCCAGGGTGATGTTCTGGTTCTCCTCTGCCTGATAGGAAGTCTGAGTCACATTCACTACAAATGTTCCTGTGGAGGAGACACAGAGGGACTCTTTAAACTGCAGCTATGTTTCTGTGGAGGAGACACAGAGGGACTCTTTAAACTGCAGCTATGTTCCTGTGGAGGAGACACAGAGGGACTCTTTAAACTGCAGCTATGTTCCTGTGGAGGAGACACAGAGGGACTCTTTAAACTGCAGCTATGTTTCTGTGGAGGAGACACAGAGGGACTCTTTAAACTGCAGCTATGTTTCTGTGGAGGAGACACAGAGGGACTCTTTAAACTGCAGCTATGTTCCTGTGGAGGAGACACAGAGGGACTCTTTAAACTGCAGCTATGTTCCTGTGGAGGAGACACAGAGGGACTCTTTAAACTGCAGCTATGTTTCTGTGGAGGAGACACAGAGGGACTCTTTAAACTGCAGCTATGTTTCTGTGGAGGAGACACAGAGGGACTCTTTAAACTGCAGCTATGTTCCTGTGGAGGAGACACAGAGGGACTCTTTAAACTGCAGCTATGTTTCTGTGGAGGAGACACAGAGGGACTCTTTAAACTGCAGCTATGTTCCTGTGGAGGAGACACAGAGGGACTCTTTAAAATGCAGCTATGTTTCTGTGGAGGAGACACAGAGGGACTCTTTAAACTGCAGCTATGTTCTTGTGGAGGAAACACAGAGGGACTCTTTAAACTGCAGCTATGTTCCTGTGGAGGAGACACAGAGGGACTCTTTAAACTGCAGCTATGTTCCTGTGGAGGAGACACAGAGGGACTCTTTAAACTGCAGCTATGTTTCTGTGGAGGAGACACAGAGGGACTCTTTAAACTGCAGCTATGTTCTTGTGGAGGAAACACAGAGGGACTCTTTAAACTGCAGCTATGTTCCTGTGGAGGAGACACAGAGGGACTCTTTAAACTGCAGCTATGTTCCTGTGGAGGAGACACAGAGGGACTCTTTAAACTGCAGCTATGTTCTTGTGGAGGAAACACAGAGGGACTCTTTAAACTGCAGCTATGTTCCTGTGGAGGAGACACAGAGGGACTCTTTAAACTGCAGCTATGTTCCTGTGGAGGAGACACAGAGGGACTCTTTAAACTCTAGCTATGTTTTTGTGGAGGAGACACAGAGGGACTCTTTAAACTGCAGCTATGTTCCTGTGGAGGAGACACAGAGGGACTCTTTAAACTGCAGCTATGTTCCTGTGGAGGAGACACAGAGGGACTCTTTAAACTGCAGCTATGTTCCTGTGGAGGAGATACAGAGGGACTCTTTAAACTGCAGCTCTGTTGCTGTGGAGGAGACACAGAGGGACTCTTTAAACTGCAGCTATGTTCCTGTGGAGGAGACACAGAGGGACTCTTTAAACTGCAGCTATGTTTTTGTGGAGGAGACACAGAGGGACTCTTTAAACTGCAGCTATGTTCCTGTGGAGGAGACACAGAGGGACTCTTTAAACTGCAGCTATGTTCCTGTGGAGGAGACACAGAGGGACTCTTTAAACTGCAGCTATGTTCCTGTGGAGGAGATACAGAGGGACTCTTTAAACTGCAGCTATGTTGCTGTGGAGGAGACACAGAGGGACTCTTTAAACTGCAGCTATGTTCCTGTGGAGCAGACACAGGGGGACTCTTTAAACTGCAGCTATGTTCCTGTGGAGACACAGAGGGACTCTTTAAACTGCAGCTATGTTGCTGTGGAGGAAACACAGAGGGACTCTTTAAACTGCAGCTATGTTGCTGTGGAGGAGACACAGAGGGACTCTTTATACTGCAGCTATGTTGCTGTGGAGGAGACACAGAGGGACTCTTTAAACTGCAGCTATGTTCTTGTGGAGGAAACACAGAGGAACTCTTTAAACTGCAGCTATGTTCTTGTGGAGGAAACACAGAGGGACTCTTTAAACTGCAGCTATGTTCCTGTGGAGACACAGAGGGACTCTTTAAACTGCAGCTATGTTGCTGTGGAGGAAACACAGAGGGACTCTTTAAACTGCAGCTATGTTGCTGTGGAGGAGACACAGAGGGACTCTTTATACTGCAGCTATGTTGCTGTGGAGGAGACACAGAGGGACTCTTTAAACTGCAGCTATGTTCTTGTGGAGGAAACACAGAGGAACTCTTTAAACTGCAGCTATGTTCCTGTGGAGGAAACACAGAGGGACTCTTTAAACTGCAGCTATGTTCCTGTGGAGGAGACACAGGGGGACTCTTTAAACTGCAGCTATGTTCCTGTGGAGGAGACACAGGGGGACTCTTTAAACTGCAGCTATGTTCTTGTGGAGGAAACACAGAGGAACTCTTTAAACTGCAGCTATGTTCCTGTGGAGGAAACACAGAGGGACTCTTTAAACTGCAGCTATGTTCCTGTGGAGGAGACACAGGGGGACTCTTTAAACTGCAGCTATGTTCCTGTGGAGGAGACACAGAGGTACTCTTTAAACTGCAGCTATGTTTACTGAGAACAGCTTTAAAGAGACAAACTAACCAGAGACACAGGAGGTGAGGAAGATGAGCTGCAGGAGGATGAAGATCATCTTCTCCCTGTGAGAGGACACACACATCAAGGGTCAGAGGTCAGACTGTAACATATTATCACGGTATAATCTACAGTGATGGGTTTCTACCACAAGATGGTGCCAGTAGTTAATGGTGAGATATCATGTATTCTGGCTCCATCTTGTGGCAGAAACCCATCACTGCAGCTTAGACCGTTTTTATTTCCTAATCTCAAAACTGCTTGAGGAAGGGAAGAGGTGAGTTTAATTAAATCCATCAGCAGCTGTTTGCTTCAGTTAGTATGTTTGGTTCCACACGTCAACAGGTAACAACACAGCATTTCACTTGAATTATTACAAAAAATATGAATTTTTTTATTTTGTTGCATTCAAATTATTTAAAAAATCTGGAGGACAATAGATATTCATTACATCAATTTTAACTGATTTTAATATTTACTCACCACCAGCAGGTAGCAACAGAGGCTAATTGTATGTAACAGCCTGAACAAATACTAGAACAATATGCATCCAAAACATATTAACAAAGTTTAAAAAAGAACCGGTGTTGTTTTTGGTTTTTCGGAAAACCAAAAAACCGACGTTATTCAGTTTTTAAACCAAAACGGGAAAACAGATAAATCAACGTTTTGGTTTTGTTTGTATGATTTACGGATAATCAATGAATGCTGGGAAAACGAGGAGAAGGCGCATTATTAAATATAATGTGGATATCTGGCGCCACCTAGTGACAGACATATGTTACTGTTCCTGGTGTCAGTCCTCTGTGTACTAAGTAATGTGGTAAAGACAGACTGTATGTTTTCTAATGTGTGTGTGTGTGTGTGTGTGTGTGTGTGTGTGTGTGTGTGTGTGTGTGTGCGTGTGTGTGTGTGTGTGTGTGTGTGTGTGTGTGTGTGTGTGTGTGTGTGTGTGTGTGTGTGTGTGTGTGTGTGTGTGTGTGTGTGTGTGTGTGTGTGTGTGTGTGTGTGTGTGTGTGTGTGTGTTTTCAGAAGATATTATGATAGTGTCGTTCGTTCCGGTACACTCCGACAGCATTTAGCACTACATCGAGATTAAGATGAAACTAATTTACTTTGGGAACAGCCGCATGCCGGTGTCGGACAGACACAAACACACCGAACACACAGAGCTGAGCAGAGCAGAGCACATACACACACACACATCATGCGCCTTGGTGACTGACTGGACATCTCCTTCATAAAACTAATAAAAGGGGGAGTAATCGGGCAGTGTGTAGAGGTGTGTAGAGATGTGTGTAGAGATGTGTGTGTGTCCCGCTGCCTCCTGATGCTGCAGCCATGTCATGAAGGAGGGTTTCCTTCTATAAAACAGCTGCGGGCAGCAGATACCGTGAGAGTCCCGGACATTAATTCATAGATCAAGGCAGACTGGTTTACTCTCCTGTTTTGCCAATCCGGTGCTTAAACAAATAGCTCCTCTACACCCCTGGCCGACATGTCCTTAAAATGAAGTCCGAGTTTGAAATATATCTCAAATAATGTATGCACCACCCCACATAAACATAACAGTCTGCAATCAAACGGTTGTCTCCTGTGCGCTCCTCTTCCTTTATTTTTTTATTTTGTTGCGATCAAATTATTTAAAAAATCTGGAGGACAATAGATATTCATTACATTACATGTAATGTGTTAGACGCTTTTATCCAAAGCATTCAGGCTGCAACAACTGGACTAGAGATGCCTGTGGTTAACTCTCTTATATTGCATGGCTGTCCACAAAGAGGTGCACAGGACTTTCACCGTTATACATTTCAAAAATATACTTGGTGACCTGGGACGACGTATTCCCTGAATATATAAATGTATAACAGTATTTCATGTTAAATAAACAATCTCTTGTGTTATACATTGAGAAAAGGCACCTCTGTCAGTGTCTACTAAATATGCACACTCTGAGAATAACAAATCTTCCTAAAACAATTAAGGATGATAGATTTGAAAACTATGAAACCAAGTTAGAGAAAATGAACTGGCTGTGTGGACCATGAAGAAGATGTAAATGTGCTCCATTTAATATAATGTAACCATCTTTGTGTACATTTTTTCAGGGGTTACTGCTCCCGCAGACTGCGCCGCCTGCGCAAGACTCTTGGCTTCAAGATGGGCAACCGACACAAGTTTGTTGGGAAGAAAATAACTGTTGAAATGATTTCTGACAGCAGGTGAGTACATTCAGTACTGTGGACAATACCCACAGGTGAAGTGTCTCAGGGACACAACGACATGCTGACTGCAGTGGGACTCGAACTTGCTCTCCCCTGATTCGAAGTTCAGCACACTATCCCACTGAGCCAAAGCCATTGGATATTCCTATTTTATGTGACATCACATGTCTGTTGAATTGTGTTTTTACTGAGTGAACCCACCACATTATAATCCAGTAACACTATTTCTGATCCTCACATTATAATCAATATAACCTTAATAAAAAATAAAGACATTCATCTGTTACCTTTTTGAGTCTTCAGTGCATTACAATCCAAACAGAGAGACGAGAGACGTGTCCTGTCTTTGTGTCTGAAGTCTTCAGCGCTGCAGCAGTACAGGTGCAGGTGCTGAGGTGAATAATGTGCTGACAGACAGTTTGCAGGTCTGTTCTCTGATGCCCCTTTCACACCGCGGCGCCGCTGCGGTGTGAACAGGAAGAGGAGCAGGTTTCCTGTTCACACCGCAGCTGCGGTGTGAACAGGAAACCTGCTCCTCTTCCTGTATGTGTCTCTGGTTAGTTTACTCCTTTAGACACAATTCAACTTTATTGAAATACTTTAATTAAATAAAAGTTCAATGTTTATTCTCAATAATTCAACTTCAAAAGCGCCAAAAAGGTTTTTTATGATACATTCTTTTTAAATATCCTAAATGTAAAAGATTTAAATTATACTCCACAATTTTACTTTTCTCTCAACGTGCTTAATAAAAAAATAACAGTTGTCCTCTTCTTTGTTTTCCCTTATAGCCGCAATACTCATCTGTACCTTCATTTCCCAGCATGCAGCTCTGTTATAAATAAGAACTCACTGTTACTGGTTAGTTCCAGTTTGTCTCTTTAAATCTGTGTCTCCTCCACAGGAACATGGCTGCAGTTTAAACTTTAAACTGTAGCTATGTTCCTGTGGAGGAGACACAGAGGGACTCTTTAAACTGTAAAGAGTCCCTCTGTGTCTCCTCCACAGGAACATAGCTGCAGTTTAAAGAGTCCCTCTGTGTCTCCTCCACAGGAACATAGCTGCAGTTTAAAGAGTCCCTCTGTGTCTCCTCCACAGGAACATAGCTGCAGTTTAAAGAGTCCCTCTGTGTCTGCTCCACAGAAACATAGCTGCAGTTTAAAGAGTCCCTCTGTGTCTCCTCCACAGGAACATTTGTAGTGAATGTGACTCAGACTTCCTATCAGGCAGAGGAGAACCAGAACATCACGCTGGAGTGGACCTTCAGCACCAGAACAGAAACTTCACTCAGATCCATTTCTATCATCTGTGAGATGTTTGCTGAGACCAGACCCCACGTCCTGTTTCATCTCCATGGAGGTGTTGAATCCCCAGAGTCTCAGGATCCACAGTTTTCAGGACGAGTCCAGTGGGACAAAGACGTCCTCACAGAAGGACGCCTCACACTTCATGTCTCCAGACTCAGGACCAATGACTCTGGGTTTTATGTGTGTGACATACTCGTCAGACTTGATGGGAGTAACTCTAGGAGATGCTGGCTCAACGTCACTGGTGAGTAACCCCCATTCATTTTTGTTATAATGTTAAACTCTCAGGGTGTACGAGAACCTGAGAAATGTTCTAGAATTTTCTTTATCAGGGAAATGTCTTTGAAACAGTTTTGTTTGGTGTTTTCACAGCAGCGACACATTGGACCAAACCTGAGACTCCCAACACAGGAAGACGGGGAAGGATTGGCCTCTACTCAGCGTTAGCACTGGTTTCTGTTCTACTTGCTCTGTGTGGCTGTGTGCTTCTCAACTTCAGACGACAACCAGCCAGTGAAGAAGGTTCAGACTCAGAGACAGGTAACAGTTCAGCAGGTGGACCAACAGAAACAGTTTGACACTGTCTGTTACATTAATACTCATCTAAAGACATTTGCACACTCCTGCACAATACTGACTCTTTAGATCTCCAGCGCTCTGACACTTTACTTCAGGTATACTGTACATCTTATCTCTCTTTCGTTGAGAGATAAACTAAAATGACCAAATGTGATTTCTGAGAGAATCTGTACCAACCAAAATCTTTCTAATGTGATTTATTTATAGGCTGGAATCTCTGCTGCATTCTGACACATATTTAACAAATACTGCACCTCCTTTGATTTGGATAAGTCCATATTGCTGTTTTGTTGGATTGTTCAGCCTTAGCCTACATATGTATGTTTGTATAACGCTGTAGCTGTGAGGTCTAGAATCTATTCACAGCATTTGTTACGTTATTTTATCATTTACTGTAATCTTTCCTATCGGAGTTGCTCTCGGTCTCCGTTACGTTGCTTCAGTCCTGATGAAATATTTGTTCTGTTTTTTTGCACTTTGTATTGAAGTTAGACACTGTGACATGTTTTGCATAGTAAATATGTGAAGTTGTAGAAGAATGAGACAAAGAAATGTTGTTTTTAATAAGCTTTATTGGACGTCTGCAGGCAGACCTACCTGATGTTGTTTTCATTCTGAATGCCTATTTGTTTATTGTGAGATGTTTGAAAGCCATGTTGTTTTGTACAGTTAAAAATAAATCTTTTAAATATACAGAGTGGTGTAATGTAACTTAGAACATATACTCAAGTACTGTACTTAAGTAAGAAATGTAGGTACTTGTACTTTGAGTATTTTCACATTATGCTATTTTATACTTTTACTCCACTACATCAGGCTCGAGAACAAATCGAATGGGGGGGGCAATCATTTACCACGGGGGTCACACACTGCCGTCAACAACCACAACACAAATACCAAGGCAACTTCCATTTCAGAACATGCTGTGAAGTCTCTGGTCTTTCACACACAGCCTGTAATGGTTTGTGTTTAGTAATCCAGCAGACCATGCAGAATCAATGAGAGCAGCAGCTACAACATATGTACATTTATTTTATTTAATCAGGAAAAAACATGACAGGATTCCTCAAAATGAACTTACATTCTCACTGGATATACAAGTAAAAAACATTTTAAACATCACATTACATTTATGAAGGATTTATTTATCATTTATTTCAGATCTGTCGATGTTTCTGCTGATGCTTCTCTGTTGTTGTCGTTCTGCACCTGTCCACCAGGTGTCCTCATTTCACATCCTGCAGTGGAGACAGTGATTGAACACTTTGTAATAATACCTGTCTCTACTGTGAAACTCACACTGCCTCAACAAACACGTGTTTCCAGTTCAATCTGCACCTTAGTCTCTATCTGTCTGTTCATATCTCACTTAAAGCTGAAACTCCTAATGTATGAAAGAAGTGAAACATGTAAAGGTTTGAGTGGAGTATTAATCAGTAGATCAAAGTTGAGTTCATTTCTGAAATCTCTGCTATTAATGAATATAGGAGTCAATGGGGCCGTTGGTTGGTACTCCTGTTACTGCGAGGCTCACAGCTCTGCATGTGTACGTCCCTTTGATTCCACAGATACATTGTTGGAGAGAGGACACTTTTTTATACGTTCTTCAGTAAAATGAAGTACAAAGAGTAACAAATGTGGAAGTTAGAGCAAATTAAAAATAAATGTTTAAGGTTATTTTCCAACCGCTCCACTCTGAACATTCAGCGCAATACACACCAATGTTAAAATCTGAAATGTGGCCTTTTTACTAAGAGTCAAACCCAGCTGAATATTTTGAGAAGCTTTAATGGGATTTGAATATTGATTAAAAGTCAGAAGGTATGAAAGATGTGGAACGTTTTGAAGCCTGAATGGAGTTTCTAACTGAATGTATGAATGAGTAAATGAAAGTCTAAAATGCATCAAAAACGGTGAAATCGAGTCAGATTCGAACATTCCGTCCATTCATCTCAATGGGAACATTTACCGCCAAATGTTGAATATTTCTGAATTTTATGAAAGGTTTGAATTCGAAAAGTAGTGAATGTTTAGATGTTTGAATGAAGTCTTACATTGAAAAATATAGGAGGATTAATGACTAGAAAAGCTTTCTATATTATGGGATGTGGTCTTTAGTACCACCACAGAAAAATAAATGTTCTCAAAATAATGGAAACAAAAACAGTTTTTTATTTGATACAGAACGGGTTGTAACAGATTGAACAGTGGGGCTGAAATCCAAGTTAACTTTTCATATTTAAACCTTTAGTTTAAAAAGGAACTCAAACTTGAGTTTTACAGTTTTCTGACGGACAATAAATAACGTGTTGCAGATCTGAAGTCAACAGCCTCCTTACAGTAGGCGGGCGTGCACGAGGCGGGCGTGCACAAGGCGGGCGTGCACGTGTGGACTTTTGGGGTCCACACACACACACACACACACACACACACTCACACACACACACACACACACACACACACACACACACACACACACTCACACACACACACACACACACACACACACACACACACACACACACACACACACACACACACACACACTCACACACACACACACACACACACACACACACACACACACACACACACACACACACACACACACACTCACAGTAATACATCTTCCAACTAAAATAGCAAAGTCACATTAGTATTTTAACTAGAAATGTATTAAATATTATTTAGCTGATGCTTTTTTCCAAAGCGACTTCCAATAAGTGCAAAAACCATAAAGAATCAAACTCCAAACAACAAGGAAAGAGCAGATATATTCACTTCAAACAACAACATACCATAGGAAGAGCTGGTGAATCAGATACAAGGCCTACATTAAATCAACAAGTGCTTAGTTGTTATTTTTTGGTTTTAACAATCACATTCAGTCAGAAAATACAAAAACATGTCTCTTGAAGATAAGCAATACAAAAACCCTGCTCTGCTCTGCTCTGAGAGAGACTCTTTACAAACCACATTTTAGATAACGGAGGGAAAAGAAAGTAACGTTTTTCTACACCTGTTCCCACATTAACATATATTTACATAACTTCAGCTGCACTTGAATTTCTTGCACTCCACCTAACTAGATTTAATGCAAACATTCATTTCTTCCTACAAAGCATCTTTCAACATAGAAGAAATAAAATGTCATAAGTGTTAAAAATATACAATCAGCACGGATAAATCCAATCAAGGATCAATTAGTTAAAACATGGTGGATCTGAATCATTTCCAGTGATCTTTGAAAGTGTCTTTCAAGTGTGTGTAGTGCTCACAGAATGTAATGTGATTACAGCAAACAGTGAATACATCAATAAACACTACGTATCATGCTTTGGGTTTCTCTTCATAATAGCTTCTGCATACAAATATATATTATTCATCATCAGTAGTTTTCTGACAGTTATCTTAGACGATCTTTGACTGGAATTGTACTGGGAGTAGATTTGTAAATTGCGACTCCTATACTCCAACCCACAAGCTGACATCCTAACAAATGGACTTGTGTCATCTCCCGTTAAACTCAAGCGAGGAACAAGGCAGTCCCCTCTCTCCTCTCCTATTCACACCGGCCATTGAGCCACTAGCGATGGCAATCCGTAAACACGCCATTATAACGGGAATACATATAATAAGGTGTAGAACACAGAATAGCTTTGTACGCGGATGATGTTATTTTGTTCTGCTCCAGTCCAAATCAAACACTGCCTGCTTCACTTGATCTGATCAGTACTTTTGGCATCTTTTCAGGCTACAAAATAAACAACAACAAATCAATAATATTGTTTCTGTCAGAGGCTCAGTCCTCCAGTTCTGACCACTTGTGGTGTCAGAACTAGGAGTGATCTATCTGGGTGTAAACATCAACCCAATTATTAACGACATGATGCCAGCTAATTACAACCAGCTCTCAGATGCAGTTATACAGTCGATCAATAGATGGATTCAATGACCCATCTCATTGATTGGACGCATCAACGTTCTCAAAATGACAATTTAACCCCAAACCTTTTCCAATCGATTCCACTTTCCCCACCATCTTCCTTTTTTAAACTGTTAAAGAAAACGTTTTCAAACTTCATTTGGAATAATAAACGTCCAGGACTTAGGACTTACTGAAGGCTCTCTTTGTTATATTTGCCATACGATAGAGGTGGACTACAATTACAGAGTCTCACCTGGTATTATTGGGCGGCTCAAATTAGGGCGGGACTGTTTTATTTAGTGAAGGACCCCCCTCCTGCATGGGTCACAATAAATCCCTGTCCCTTGCTGTGCCCATAACCCTTTATATTTACTCAGCAGATAAAAGAAAGTGAATTAAACAGACAAGGAACCCCTTGCTCAAAAACACGATGGTGGTTTGTCTCAGTGTTCTGACACACTCTGGTGAGATACAGAATCTATCCCAATTCTCACACATGTTTGGTAATGATGGGTTTCGGCCAGGCGGGGCAGATCCAGGCTCTAACATCTGGGCTACCAAAGGTATTGCTAAGGTGTCTGACATTTATAAAGAAGCTACGTTTATGTCATTTGAAGAGCTCAGAACCACATGTGGAATTCCTGCAAAGCACTTTTTCAAATATCTCAGACTCCCGAGTTTTATAAGGTCCTGCCAGGGCGGCTTAGAACTTCCCCCTCTGTCCACTTTAGAAAACATCACTTTGAAACATCAAGAAGCCAGGGGTCAAGTATCCTTATTATACAATCTGTTTGCAAATGAATGTAAAGAATCCTCAAACAATATCTTGCAGGCCTGGAAATTGGACTTCAAACTAAATATAACAGGAGGAATGGTCAAAGGCTTGCTCCTTGGCTCAAACTCAAACAACGAACACACTGTAGTGCCGAGAGATAGGAGTCGGAGGCGGTGCATCGAAGGTGAAAAGTGGTGCTTTAATGAGCAGCAGAAAACCACATGTTGTCGGGTCCGGGAAGAGAAGAGAAGAGAAAGCGAAAGGGAGGGCAGGCCACGTCAACAACATATGTGTCCGTGCGGAAACAATACCCCCAACCTGTAGTTCCATGAGTGAATTATGTAACCTAGTTAATTAGTGATCACTACAACACACTCTAAATGACTACGGTATGAATGGCTAACCAGACGGTACATTACTCCGGCTAGGTTGCACCACTTTGATCCTAATATTCCTGATACATGCATTACATGTAACAACCTGAAGGGGTCGCTCTTCCACTGTACAGTATGTGGGAGTGCCCACAAACACTCTCCTTTTGGAAAAGGGTGTTCGAGCTGTGGTTATTGGTAAAGAGGTACCTCTTGATCCTAAATTGTGTATCCTGAATTTAAACCCTCATGACTTTGTAACTTCCAAGAATGTAAGCTTTCTGCTCAATGCTTGCTTTGTGGAGGCTAAACGGTGCGCAGCTCGCACATGGAAGGAACCATCAACCTGTGGACTTTCTCAACGGCTGAAAGGGAGGACTTTCTACCTTGCTCTTGAAAGGATACGTGTTTTCCTTCAAAACAAACTAGCTGGAAAACCTTGTAGGACTTCCTGGAGCATACTGGTCTACAACATGATGGAGGATGAGGACACTTGAATATCATTTGGGCTGTGTTTCTATTTTCTATTCTTCTTACTTTCTTTTTCTGTTTTGTTAGTTTTGCTGATAGTATGTCAAGTCTGTCTTGTTTATTAAGTGTCATGTCTATGCATAAAAAATAATAAAGAGACGTATTAAAAGTAAAAAACTATTAAAAATAATTAAACAAAGAGAAAAATAAAAAAAAGGAGAATACAATATTTTTGAATAAAAAGAAACATATAAGTCCATTGCATATAAATTAAAAAAAAAAGAAATAAGAGAAAGAATTAAAGAAAACAGTGTCCCTGTAACGTAGATCCAGATGTTTCCCTCTCTCACTTCTTGTGGACTCTCTGTTGGTCTCTGAGTTTGGAGCTCAGCAGCAGCTGTGGAAAATACACAGTTTAGTAACATCATGTTGACATGGAGAAAACCTCTTTCAGACTATTCTGTATCAGATATTTTAATGACCTGCATGTTTATTTACCATTTCACATAGAGCTACCATCTGCATATTTAAAATGTTTTAATTTAAATACTCACCAGTCACATTCAGCCAGCATCTCCTAGAGTTACTCCCATCAGGTCTGACGAATATGTCACAAACATAAAACCCAGAGTCACTGGTCCTGAGTCTGGAGACATGAAGTGTGAGGCGTCCTTCTGTGAGGACGTCTTTGTCCCACTGGACTCGTCCTGAAAACTCTGGATCCTGAGACTCTGGGGATTCAACACCTTCATTTAGATTAAACAGGAAGTAGGGTCTGCTCTCAGTAAACATCTTACAGAGAGTAGAGATGGATCTGAGTGAAGTTTCTCTTCTGGTGCTGAAGGTCCACTCCAGGGTGATGTTCTGGTTCTCCTCTGCCTGATAGGAAGTCTGAGTCACATTCACTACAAATGTTCCTGTGGAGGAGACACAGAGGGACTCTTTAAACTGCAGCTATGTTCCTGTGGAGGAGACACAGAGGGACTCTTTAAACTGCAGCTATGTTACTGTGGAGGAGACACATAGGGACTCTTTAAACTGCAGCTATGTTCCTGTGGAGGAGACACAGAGGGACTCTTTAAACTGACGCTATGTTTCTGTGCTGCTTTACTGAGAATAGCTTGAACCTGTCTCTGATTGGCTGAAACACCAAACAGATCATTGCAGCATTACCCATAATCCCCTCTGTTTCAGCCCTGTTTCTAAAGTGCTGATTCTCTGTCTGTTACTTTAGATGAAAATAAGGAGCCCCTCCCCACGCCCCTCTGAGAGAGATTTGGTTAAAAAGAACTCTTCAGCCGCGTTCACACCAAGTACTTTGCCGTACTTAGTTCCCAGCACTTAGTACTCAGCTCTTAGTACCACCATGGAACTTAGTACAGATCGCGTTCACACCGGAATAAGTCCCTGAGGGAAGATTACGCAAATGAGCCGCTGACGTCACTTCTTCTTCTTCTGCTTTGGGTTTACTGGCAGGCCGCAAACAACTTCACGGTGTATACTGCCACCCGGAGTCCCCGGTAAATCGCCAATTAAATCGCCAGAACGCCGACAACTCCTCATCTCCACCGCTCGCATGTTTTTTTTTGTGTTGCCATAAGTTATTCTCTCTCCGTTGGTGCGCTGGGTTAATGCTAATGCTAATAATGCTAATGCCAGCAAATACAATGGCGGCTTCACAAAAGTTTTCAGAGTTGTACGGGGCGTGGTTTGCAATTCGCCAATCAGAAATTGGTACTTTTTTCTCCCCAGGATAGTACCACCTCTCTAGCAGGCACTACAAATGGGGTAAAAGTTCTCGGAATTAAGTTCTCTTTTTGGTGTGAACGCAAAATTCCAGGCACTAACGGAACTAAACGGGAAAAGTACGGGTAAAAGTACTCCGGTGTGAAAGCACCTAACGGTGCTCTAGGAGGAGATTCAGGTGATAAGCGGGGGGGTTACCTTGGTTGCTGATTGGCTAATGGTTACACAAGCCAAAAAATCGCTATGACATCATAAAGTGGCCAAAATCTGATCAGCTCATTTTCAGACAGGTTTTTAAAAGAGAGAGAATCTTTGTTCCTGAAACTTTCAGAGTCTCTTTCCACAGAGTGGACACATGTTGATGTAGAAGAGACATGAACAAGTGGACTTTGCATAATAGGTGACCTTTAAAGAGACAAACTAACCAGAGACACAGGAGGTGAGGAAGAGGAGCAGCGGGAGGATGAAGAGCATCTTCTCGCTGTGAGAGGACACACACATCAAGGGTCAGAGGTCAGACTTTAACATTTATAGTTTAATAATAACGGTCTAAGCTGCAGTAATGGCTTTCTGCCACGAGATGGTGCCAGTAGTTAATGATGAGATCTCATGTGTTCTGGCTCCATCTTGTGGCAGAAACCCATCACTGCAGCTTAGACCGTTTTTATTTCCTAATCTCAAAGCTGCTTGTGGAAGGGAAGAGGTGAGTTTAATTTAAAAATCCATCAGCAGCTTGAATTTGTTTTATTTTGTTGCATTCAAATGATTTAGAAAATGTGGAGGATAACACCAGATATCCCAATTTATGTTAAAGGGCCCATGTCATGCTTTTCTGGTTATTAACCGCACAAGAAATGTCGCAGCAGCTCGCAGCAACGAGCCTCGCAACGTCCCGACCAATCAGAGCAGAGGGGGGGGGGGGGGAGTGAATACACATACTTTACAGAGATGCTGTTTGAGAAACCAATGTAAGTTTGGAAAATTGCACAATATAAATCTATTCTAGTAGACCTCAACAATGGAATTATGATCAGTAGAAATAGCCATGACATGGGACCTTTAAATCACATGTCTGTTGAATTGTGTTTTTACTGAGTGAACCGACAACATTATAATCCAGTAACACTTTGTCTGATCCTCACAATGTAATCTGATTTAATCATAATGAAAAAAGACATGCCTACAGTATGTTACCTTTTTGAGTCTTCAGTCCAGTAAAATCCAAACGGAGACAAGAGACGTGTCCTGTCTTTGTGTCTGAAGTCTTCAGAGCTGCAGGAGTACAGGTGGAGGTGCTGAGGTGATGTACCCAGTCCTCTTTACAGGAAGTGTTTCAACAGCACGTCAACAGCAATCTGAGGAGTGTTTAGCACACGCCCTCTGTTCATTTATCAGAGTGAATCATGTGGTTGCAGACTTACAGGAGAGATACGGGTGGTCTCGTGGTTTGTCCACACAGTATTCACTGATACATGTCTGATATGTGTATGTAATGTAAAGCGCTTTGAGCATTTGGAAAAGCGCTCTAATAAATGTAATGAATTATTATTATTATTATGATCAGACAGGAATAGTTTCAGTTTGATACAGTTATGGTTTGTCATATCTCTGATAACCATCATTGTCCTGTCAATAGTGCGCTGGTCTTCGGATGAGGGGAGATCATGGGGGCACTGGTTCAATCCCAGCTGCAGTCAGCATGTCGTTGTGTTCCTGGGCAAGACACTTATTTATTAGGTTTGCAACGGTTTATTTTGGTATTGGTCAGTGTTTGTAATATTATAATTGATCCATTTATCATTGTGTGATCCATATGGGTTAGTGGAGCTTTGATTATTCAGATCACAATGTTGTGCACGTTCAAATGAGCTGATCATTGCTCTTCACCTGCTGACCCACGACTGCACCTCCACCCACAGCTGCAACACAATGGACTTTGACTTTGATGATCGTTATCGGATGAAAATGACTTCGTAAACGGTTGGCTGCCTGCCATCCAGCTTTCACATTTGTCAAGATAAGCCAATGGTTAGATCCCAAATAGAATAGAATAGAATATATGTTTGTTGTCATCATACAAAGCACAACGACATTTCTTTGGCAACTCTCACTGCCTACAGAAAGGCCAATCAAAACAAGGGAGAGGTGATTTTTAACCTTTGAACAACTACTCAAGTTTCACAGGTGTAATTGTTCCTTAGTGCCTCTAAAGGGAGAGTCAGAACTACACTTTCATATTTTAAACATTTGGAAACTTTTAAATTGTTTAAGTTAAATGTGTGAGTTAAGAAGCTTCCTGAAGTGAAAGTTCTTTAACTCTGAACTAAAATCTGAGTTGTATTCTTCTCTGTATGTAGCATTCATCATATGTGCCCCTTCCTTCCTCTCACTAAAGTGCAGTTGGCATGTTTCATATAAATAAATACACTTGCTCACTTTGACTATGGTTTATGTTTTAGTAATCCAGCAGACCATGCAGAAGCAGGTGAACCAATGAGAGGAGCAGCTATAAAATATATACATTTATTTGTATTTAATCAGGAAAAAACAGACAGGATTCCTCAAATTGTACTTAACTTCTCACTGGAATATATTTAAATTAAATATATAAGTAAAAAACTATTAAAATGTCCCAGATCAAATCATTCTGTGTGATCATCAGAGACTAACGAGGTTTAAATCATCTCAGCTGGAAACAGGAAGAGCTGAGGGCCAGTAAAGAGCGCCCCCTGTTGCATTTATCAAGAACAACACTGTAAATATTAAATATCAGTAACACCAGTATCCTCACTGATTAAAGTTTTCCCCTATCGTTTTTTTCTCATATTTCCAACATACTAAAGTGTCTCTCTAGGTCGTCCTCAGACGAGCCCTCCATCGTCGCTTCCAGTCATCCCGGTTCTCCGTATAGGATTTGGGATGACTTTGTTCTTCATGGCTGATTGAGGACTGGGGGGCGCAACTCCTCTGAGTCCTGGTTTTAGTTCAGAGTGCCCTTCTCCTAGATGGGTTGCCTTCTATGAGCCCCATCTGCCCGGGGAGCAGTGTAGGGAACGGTGCCTTGCTCAGGGACACCTCGGTAGCACTTGGTCTTGACGGGACTTGAACTGGTGACCTTCCAGTTGCCAAGCCAACTCCCTATGGACTTCGCCACCACCGCCCACCAAACTAAACTAAAGTGTAGTTTGTCGAGAACATGATAGAAAACGACAGTCTGACGACGAAGCAAAAGCCTATATTTATTTAGCGGGTGGACCAACACTGGAAAAAGTCAAGGTTCAGTTTGTTGAGGATACAAACAGACGAACTGTAAACACATTTCTAGTCCAACAAATATCCGTGCTTACAGCAAATGATAGTTTAAAACAACTGCTACTTTTCTTAAGAAACAAGGAGACAACACTACAAACTTTTAATCATTTATTTAACCGCATAGAAAAATCCAGCACAGACAACAGCCTTTTGTTCGATACGTCAGTGCTTCTGAAACTGAAGAAAGACAGACGATAAAAAGCAGCAAACGTAAGGCACTAAATCTCTACTGAGTGTTTAGAATTGATCATGAGAAAGAAAAATAAACCCAAAAACAAGACAAATACACATATGGAAACCCGCATCAACGAGACAAACGGACGATTAAAACAACATTTAAAGAAAGTCCGCAGAGCTTGTATTTGTCCGACTCTTCTAACCCGAGTCCTGAGGGATTTGATGAGGCCTTTTAAAGCTTTTCTCTTTGCTTTCAGCAGAAGTGCAACGCTAAACTTGGTTTATGCTTTTAGCTGAAGTATTGTTTAATGTCTTACATTCTTTTTAAAGTTGTACGAGGCACTATAACAGATAGTAATCAGCCATTTGTAGAAAGATAAAGCTGTGAAGCTATAACAAAAAGAGGGTTAGCTTAGCACAAAGACTGGGAACAGCTAGCCTTAAAAGAAAAAGGAGAATATCCAGAGTACTGTCGTCCGATTGGCTGACAACTAGTAATGTCTATTCAAGCCCCGCCCCCCTGTGGGAGGAGCTAAACAGAACATCGTCAAACCCCGCCTCCGCCACGCATCGTTATCTAGCTTAGCACTAAGACTGGAAACAGTTGGAAACAGCTAGCAAGGCTCAGAAGAAAAAAAAAGAAAAAAAAGAAAAGAAGAATTTCCAGTGTCCTGTCCTCTGATAGGCTGAGAACTAGTGTCCTGTCCTCTGATAGGCTGAGAACTAGTGTCCTGTCTCACGGCCAACAATCCTTATCTAACTTAGCTTAGCACAAAGACTTGAAACAGGTGGAAACAGCTAGCATGGCTCTGAAAAGACGGGGGAAAAAGAATGTCCAGTGTCCTGTCCTCTGATTGGCTGAGAACTATTGTTGGCCCCGCCCCATGTGGGAGGGGCCATACTGAATATAGTCATACCCCGCCCCCCCAACGCCTCCTTGTCTCCGTCGTTGCCCCCCCCTCCATGAATCATGGCCCCCCCTCCCTGAATCATGGCCCCCCCTCCCTGAGTCATGGCCCCCCCCTCCCTCTCCCCCCTCTCCAACTTCTCTCTCGCCCCCTGTGGTTTAAGGTCTGGGGTTTAAATGCCGCCTCCTCCCATTGGTCCTCGGTGCTGCAGCCAACCGACAGAGACTCCGCCATGGCAGCGGTCGTCGGGCGTCCACCGGACCCCATGACTCCATAGGGCCACTTCCTGTTGCCGTGGTAACTGCGGGGCGTGTTGCCGTTGTCCCCGGTGACAGTCGTCTTGGAGATGTCAAAGTGCGACGGAGAGCCAGAGTTTCTGGAGCTGTCGGGGTTCAGGAGCAACGTCATCTGAGAGGAGGATTACAATGTTATAAATACTAGCAAAACAAATGTAACTACTACGAGACATTATTTTACTATTAGAACACATCTTTTCTACTTTAACAAGTATTAACACATTTTACTACAACTACTACTAAGGCTGTTACTACTAATACTAATACGACTACTACAACAACTACGACTACTACTACAACTACTAATACTACAATTATTAAAACTACTACTACTACAACTGTCCATAGTAAGTTTCTGTTACTATAAAGGGATGTAACAACTAAAACAAACGTAAAACAACAAATATTATTAATACTAGTAAAATGTTACAACTTGAACAAATCATACTAAAACTACGACAACAAATGTCACTATTAGGACTCAAAGAAGAGTCACTGGTACGTATGTTTTTACCACTAAATCAACTATTCCAGTTGTGAAATGGTAAATAAAAACAGAGTACTCACTATAGGGTTGTTGTTGAGGGGGGGGGTCCACCAGCAGTACGGCTCGCTGCTGACTGTCTCCACGGTCCTTCTTATGGCCTGATGGGAAACATTAAAATACTAGACGTTAGCATAAAAACAATAACAGTTTGAAGACTACATTACCCAGAAACCCTTTGAGCTGTTGCTTAATAATTAACACCAAACATTAAGGGATTCTCAACATTGTTTTTAGACTTATAAACTGACTGTTGTCTAATGCCAAGAACAGAATAATATACTATCTGAGTAATTCTACTTTAAATACTTGAGTACATTTAGCTGATAATACTTATACTTCAGTAACATTTTGAAGTTGTAAAAGAGTATGTTGACAGTGCAGTAATAGTACTTTTACTTCAGTAAGGATGCGAGTACCACCTCTGATAAACGTACCATATCCAGAAACCACCACTTGTATGTTGGGGTTAGCATTAGCCACGTTAGCAGCAGCCGGACCCTCCAGAGGAGCAGGGACTCGGCACGGACCCTGGCCATGGATTTTGTCTCCGTTTGTGGGTTGACGCTGCTCTGTGACCCCCTGGAGCTCCTCCGATGGGGGGGTCTGGTGAGAGGAGGGGGGGTACGGAGGGTAGGGTTGGGGGTAACCCTGACCCCGATATGATGCATTCTGGGGGGGGTAAGCATGCGTGAAGCTGGGGTTTCTGGGTAGGGGAACCTGGTGTTGTTGCCATTGTTGTTGTTGTTGTTGTTGGTGTTGGGGAGGGGGAATGGAGGCTGGAGAAGGAGGAAAGGGAGGCTGAAGAGGGTAGGTTTCCTGGGGTCTGGAGGGGGGGGAACTGGGGGGGAGGAGAGGGGGAGGGGGAGGGAGGTTTGGGGTTCAGCTGGTAGGTTTGTTGAAGGGGGAGGAGGTATAAGTAGGGGGGGCACAGGGGGTGGGAGTAGGCCTGCAGAGAGAGAGAGAGAGAGAGAGAGAGAGAGAGAGAGAGGAGGGGTCAGAGTCTGTGTTCAGTACCAAAAGAAAGCTTGTTTA